GTAATATTTTCACCCAACTTTTAGAAAGGCAATCATAAGAACTAGCTTGTAATATTCATTATGACATTAAAACTAAAACTTGGTGCTACATAAATACATTAAATTGGTTATATAGGTTATGTTAGTTTATTGTGTATGATCCTTTATAGCTTCAAAAATGGCAAATCCTACGCAACCCATACGACGGTAAACGTTGAGCCTTGTTACTGCTTTTGGCACAACACGAGTTTTTTTTCCCTAACGGGTGGAAACAGACATTTTGCAGCTCGCTGATACAAATTCCTTCGTAAAGTGGAGACTGGGAAGGGGGTGCAAATCTCTGAAAATAAGAAATCCCTGGGAATGGGAAAGGTGTGGAAGATTTTCGGAAGTCTGACAAACCTGTCAGAGGTCCACTGGGGATCCCCGATGATCCTAGGGAAGGGTTACAGGCACGTCAGCCTGGGGGGTTATGGGCGCACTCACCCGCTATACAAACAAGCCCTTTTATCCCAGTGGTTAGTGACTGGGATTCTGACATGGTATCAGAGCGAAGGTCTCGGGTTCGATTCCCGGTGTGTGCACTTCGGGCATCCCAGTGCGGGGGGGTGTCAGAGGTCCACTGGGGATCCCCGATGATCCTAGGGAAGGGTTACAGGCACGTCGGCCTGGGGGGTTATGGGCGCACTCACCCGCTATACAAACAAGCCCTTTTATCCCAGTGGTTAGTGACTGGGATTCTGACAAAACCTTGTCAATGAAATACCTCGTTAAAGCTTTGTTTTCGACAGTAGAACCCTCGTATAGAGTAGTTTTAAAGATTACCTAAATTTTGTACTGTACACTTTAAAATCAACCTCAGTTTTAAGCATAGCCCACCGTCATCATGGCGTTCATGGCTATGATTCGGCTGCGAGCACCACCGTGTCAAGATAAGCGGTAGTCTTAGGAGCCATAGCTAGGAGAGTCCTAGCTAGGCAAGAGAGTTTAGGCGAAAGAGGGGTTGCACTAGCAAGAATGGGGATACAAATAGCAAACCCTAGAAGGGTTGTACTCGCTACAGAGCACCCCACTACAGGCTAGAGCATAATATTCTGACACACCCCCATAGCCAAAGTGGGGTGTAATCAGCAGAGCAAGCAAAGCAGTACAAGCTCAGGGTGGATCACAATGTCACCACACATTCTGAGCACAAGTTTAAGAAGCAATAGTTTAAAGTTCACAATTATGAGCAAAGCTAGTGGTAGTCACAACGGGCAAGTGAGGAGGAGGAGGGCTGGCGAGAGGAGAGTAGATGGGAGGCGACGACTGAAGCTGCAGGCACACGGGCAACAGACGGCTCTGGTGCGACACAGTGGCTACCGGGAGTGAGTGCCCCGGAGTACAGGAGTAACAGGCTCCGCGGCTAAGACGAGCAGCAGGAGCAACGGACCCACAGGCGACGGCGCAACCGGCTCTCTGAGCTACCGGGAGTGAGTGCCCCGGAGTACAGGCGCTGCGTACGACACGACGGCAACCTCCCCTCAACCTCCCCCAACAGTCCCACTCCCCCTGACACACACCCGCTGCTACACCGCTAGCTCCACTCCCCCTTCACCCCCCCTTAGTACCACTCCGACGGCTCCAACAGGTCCACCCCCCTCAGCGGCAGCTGCAGCACAGGGAGACGGAGGAGGAGGAGGAGCAGGGAACGGCACACAGAAGCTGCACCCCCATACCCCCCAACCCCAAACCCTAATCCAGGAGAACGGGCAGAAGGAGGGGTGGGGCGCCTTCAGAAGCACGGGGGACAGCGGGGAGGACAGGGGCAGCGAAGAACGGGCCGCCCACGGGCCTGGCACAGCCTCCCGAACCGCGCGCAGGCGGTCCGAGCCGCGCGCGGGCCTGGCGCAGCCCGTACGGGCCGCGCGCGGGCCTGGCGCAGCCCGTACGGGCCGCGCGCAGGCCACGACGGGCGACGGGGGGCGACGCGCGGGTCCCCGTCGCCCGTCGCAGCGCCTCCCGGGGGCGACGCGCCGAGTGACGGGGCAGGAACCCGTCGCGCGCCTCGGGGCACACGGCGGGCAGAGAACCGCCGCGCGCCTCGGGGCGCACGGCGGGCAGAAAACCGCCGCGCGCCTCGGGGCGCACGGCGGGCTGAAAACCCTAGTTTCGACGCCGCGCACCACGGGGCGCGCGGCGGACAGGGAGTAGCAGTAGCAGCGGAAGCAGTGAAGTGGGCCCACAGGCCACGAACGTTAAGCTCTGATACCATGTTGAGATAAGCGGTAGTCTTAGGAGCCATAGCTAGGAGAGTCCTAGCTAGGCAAGAGAGTTTAGGCGAAAGAGGGGTTGCACTAGCAAGAATGGGGATACAAATAGCAAACCCTAGAAGGGTTGTACTCGCTACAGAGCACCCCACTACAGGCTAGAGCATAATATTCTGACACACCGTGCCTGATCCACGAAACTCGGAATTTCGATTTAGAAAGCTTGCTTTCTTATACTGTATTTGGCATCGTTCTCATTTCGCCTGCGCGTGCGAGGTCTGCAACGCGACTTAGGCCTTCGTACTTGAATTTGGGAATGAGTAGGTGTGCGTTCACTTTCCTCAGGTCGAGAATGAGCCTGCATTTGTCTCGTTGCTCAACCACATTGAAAGGACTTATGCATGTGAGCTCCGATGCAGGGGTGGCTACTGCCGCACCGGTCTCGGTAAGTTCGCGGATGGCCGTGCGTGTGAACGCCGCGTGCGTGTATGCCCCAAGGTGGTTGCGCTCTCTAAAGGGCTGTGGCGGGTTATGGCTCCATGGTAGCCAGTAGCCATTGGCGATGACCGAGAGGATGAGGCTACTTGGGCACCACGAGCTCCACCATGCAAAAGTTGCTCGAAGCCGCCCGCGCATTTGCGTGACGGACTTGTCTGTGACGGCAAATTCGTACGGGTCGTCATTGTCCGTCGCCTCGCGTTGCATTGCTTCTGCATATTCGCGGCATGCGAATGGAGGAGGGAACACAAGCAAGGACCTTAAGCATGTAATCCAAGGCATCCATGCCTGAGGAGTCAGCACTTGCAACGGAGTGTGCTGAGAACGCATTCAACTAGCCCGTAGCACCATAGTCGCCCATGGCCGTTTAGTGCGATACCTTTATATGATGTATGCATGTGCGCGCGCGCGTGTGCGTGCGTGTGTGTGTGTGTGTGTGTGTGTTTGTGTGTGTGCTTTTTTTTTTTTTGTAAGGCCTTGGGGCATCGGGAAGAGTCTTCTCGCCTTGTCTTGCGATTGCCCTTTCTTCCTCATGGCCTCGCGATCCCTCCTTTTGCCTTTGCATCCTCTCTTTCCCTCTTGTGTACGTCCGGCTATCTCTCTCTCTCTTCCTCCCCCTTTCCCCTTTCTTGCTTTGGCGCTTGCTTTCCTTTGTCTTCGGGACATGCTCTTGGGCTATGGCCAGCCGAGGGTTGCCCGTACCCATGAGGGGTGGGGCCATTTGTGTGAAGCCATTTGTTGGCTCACATTATCTCCACCTCTCTTTTTTTTTTTTTTTTTTGTTGGTCCATGGAACAAGAAGGTACCCTTATTATCAAAGTGCCCTTATAAGAAACGGGCCATACATTGCCATGCATCCTAGCATGCATTTACTCTCGCCTCGTTGGGCGCACACATGGGACCGAAGGGCATGTCATAACCCTTTCCCTCATCCTAGGCCTATAGCCTATCACCTCCCCTAACTAGGGCCGGCCAATTTATCCCGCAAACCCCTACGGGCTGCCCACGGTCAACGCACGTGACGTGCACCGTGCCACGCGCACTATTGCGCAAATGCTCAAGGCCCGACCTTACACCACGGGTGCGGGTCCTTGGCCACCATTCCCGTTCCGCGGGCAGCCACTTGCCACGTGGCCCGGCTGGCCGCAACGGAAACACGACCCCCGGAAGCCATGAAAGGCACCCGAGGTCGGCCCCCGCTTTGTAGTGAATGGCGCGGGCCCGCGACCTCCGTTGCGGTGGGCAACTTGTACTCCGCATGCTTCAGGTAAGCTCGCAGGTCCTCCAGGGGTTCCGCTTTCGCTCGCACGAGTGGGTCGAAGAAGTTAGCCGCCAAAAACGTGTTGTTAGTGGAAGGGAGGGGGGGGGAGATGTTCCATAGAGGTAAATTGTGCTGCGTTGATCGGAGCCTCACCAGCGTCGTCATCTGATTCGTCGGAGTCGTTGTCGGCTGCTGCAAGCTTCGGGAGCGCTGGTGATCGCCTCCTTGTTGTGGCGACGCGTTGATGTTCCTTTCGCGCCTTTCTCCTTCTTCGTATTTTCTTTTTTAGCAGATGCAGACGCCGCCGGCTGTGTAGTTTCGGCTGCAATTGCGCTGGCGGGTTGCTGCTGTAATAAGGACAGCAGCGCCTTGACTTGGTCCGCGGTCAATGCCTCGGTCAAGCCAGGGTCAGCCGTCGCGTCAGACGAGGCACTCGTGCGGCGCCTCTGGCGCTGACGTGACGGCTTGTGGGCCGCGTGTGCCGCCGGCGCGTGGTCCGCGTCAGTGGCGTGTGTCGCCAAGTTCGCCACTGGCGCCACAGGCCCCACAGGCGCGACTGGCGCCACAGGTGCCGAAGGGTGCTGGGGGTGCTGCTCGGCGTTTTTGTTGACTTCGAGCCCGCCCAGTAGTACGTCCACGGCGGTAGGGGCGGACGTTTCGCCGTCTGCCCGGCGCTTGTTGCAGCGATCGCCCGACGTTTCACGGGCGTTATGGTCGATGTCGGAATTAATCGGGTCGTTGACGACGGTGTTGTTCGCCCGGTTAAAGCGGCGGTATACATTTGGCAGGGCCAGTGCCAAAAGTATATAAAAGGTACCTGGGGGTAACCGAATTACAGGGTCACTCGACTTCTCTCTCGAGGGTCCGTGTCTTTCCAACCCCCCGGAGCAGACTCTCACGTCAAAAGTTTATGGTATGCCAAAAGTATACTGAAGGAGTTGCCTCTTCCCAACTAGCCCCACCCCATTAGCTCAGCGTCGACTAGCGTAACTACCGTGCGTGCGCAAAAGCCAATGCAATCCGTAATAACCGAGGGTAGCGCATCTCTCTGTTAGGTCATTTAGCGACCATACGACCGTCTATATTGCTTCGCTGCAATGACATTCGCCGGCCCAGCTGTGAAAGGCTAGAAACCGAATAGAGTTTAGTGGCGACGCGACGCGGGGAATCGCCGCCGTCGCAAACCCCAGCACGCGGCCACGTGAAAGCCGAGGAAATTAGCCACTCCGCGCCGTCCAGATCTGATAGCGCCGGACCGGCCCCGCAGTTTATCTTGAACACGCGTGGCAACGAACGCCGCGGGATAGCTTCGCTCCCACGCTCACGGTAGGCGCCTCATAGCCCAGTCACTCTGATTCGGCTGACGCAGGTTGAGTAGGCGCGACGGTGTGCATTTTTTCCAACCTTATCTTCCCCCCGATTTGCTGCCCTTACCGCCGCGATTCCACTTCCCGCCGCTCCGTGAGCCCCTTTCCGCCGCCCAACTCCCTTTTCCCGCCGCTCTATTCCCAGTTCCGCCGCCCCTTTGACCTTCCCGCAGCCCAAATCCCCTTTCCCGCCGTCGACTCCCCTACCCGCCGCCCGAATCCCCTTTCCCGCCCCCCAATGCCCTTTCCCTCCGCCCGATTCCCCTTTCCGCCGCCCCTTTGACCTTCTCGCCACCAGATTCCCCTTTCCCGCCGCCCAATTCGCCTTTCCCGCCGCCCGAATCCCCATTCCCGCCGCCCGATTCCCCTTCTCGCCGCCCGATTCCCCTTCCCTCCGCCCGATTCCCCATTCCCTTCCCTCCCTTCCCTCCCTTCTCTCCGTTCTCTCCCTTCTCTCCCTTCCCTCCCTTCTCTCTCTTCCCTCCCTTCCCTCCCTTCCCGCCCTTCTCTCCTTCAATCCCTTCTCTCCCTTCCCGCCCTTCTCTCCCTTCCATCCCTTCTCTCCCTTCTCTCACTTCTCTCCCTTCCCTCCCTTCCCGCCCTTCCCTCACTTCCCTCCCTTCCCGCCCTTCTCTCCCTTCCATCCCTTCTCTCCCTTCCCGCCCTTCTCTCCCTTCCATCCCTTCTCTCCCTTCCCTCCCTTCTCTCCCTTCCATCCCAAAAATCCCTCCTCTCCCTTCCTCCCTTCCCTCCCTTCCATCCCTTCCCTCCCTTCTCTCCCTTCTCTCCCTTCTCTCCCTTCTCTCCCTTCCCTCCCTTCCATCCCTTCCCTCCCTTCTCTCCCTTCTCTCCCTTCTCTCCCTTCTCTCCCTTCCCTCCCTTCCCTCCCTTCTCTCCGTTCTCTCCCTTTTTCTCCCTTCTCTCTCTTCCCTCCCTTCTCTCCCTTCTCTCCCTTCTCTTCCTTCTCTCCCTTCCCTCCCTTCCCTCCCTTCCCTCCCTTCCCTCCCTTCTCGCCCTTCTCTGTCTTCCATCCCTTCTCTCCCTTCCCGCCCTTCTCTCCCTTCCATCCCTTCTCTCCCTTCCCTCCCTTCTCTCCCTTCCATCCCTTCTCTCCCTCTCTCCCTTCCCTCCCTTTCCTCCCTTCTCTCCCTTCCATCCCTTCTCTCCCTTCCCTCCCTTCCCTCCCTTCTCTCTCTTCCCTCCCTTCTCTCCCTTCTCTCCCTTCTCTCCCTTCCCTCCCTTCCCTCCCTTCCCTCCACACTTCCCTCCCTTCCTGCCCTTCTCTCCCTTCCATCCCTTCTCTCCCTTCCCGCCCTTCTCTCCCTTCCATCCCTTCTCTCCCTTCCCTCCCTTCTCTCCCTTCCATCCCAAAAATCCCTCCTCTCCCTTCCCTCCCTTCCCTCCCTTCGATCCCTTCCCTCCCTTCTCTCCCTTCTCTCCCTTCTCTCCCTTCTCTCCCTTCCCTCCCTTCCCTCCCTTCTCTCCGTTCCTCCCTTCTCTCCCTTCTCTCCTTCTCTCCCTTCTCTCCCTTCCCTCCCTTCCCTCCCTTCCCTCCCTTCCCTCCCTTCTCTCCGTTCTCTCCCTTCTCTCCCTTCTCTCCCTTCTCTCCCTTCCTCCCTCTCCCTTCCCTCCCTTCCCTCCCTTCCCTCCTTTCCCTCCCTTCTCGCCCTTCTCTCCCTTCCATCCCTTCTCTCCCTTCCCTCCCTTCTCTCCCTTCCATCCCTTCTCTCCCTTCCCGCCCGTCTCTCCCTTCCATCCCTTCTCTCCCTTCCCTCCCTTCTCTCCCTTCCATCCCTTCTCTCCCTTCTCTCTCTCCCTTCTCTCCCTTCTCTCCCTTCTCTCCCTTCCATCCCTTCTCTCCCTTCCCTCCCTTCCCTCCCTTCTCTCTCTTCCCTCCCTTCCCTCCCTTCCCGCCCTTCTCTCCCTTCAATTCCTTCTCTCCCTTCCCGCCCTTCTCTCCCTTCAATCCCTTCCCTCCCTTCTCGCCCTTCTCTCCCTTCCATCCCTTCTCTCCCTTCCTGCCCTTCTCTCCCTTCCATCCCTTCTCTCCCTCCCTTCCCTCCCTTCTCTCCCTTCCCTCCCTTCTCTCCCTTCTCTCCCTTCCCTCCCTTTCCTCCCTTCTCTCCCTTCCATCCCTTCTCTCCCTTCCCTCCCTTTCCTCCCTTCTCTCTCTTCCCTCCCTTCCCTCCCTTCCCGCCCTTCTCTCCCTTCAATCCCTTCTCTCCCTTCCCGCCCTTCTCTCCCTTCCATCCCTTTTCTCCCTTCCCTCCCTTCTCTCCCTTCCCTCCCTTCTCTCCCTTCTCTCCCTTCCCTCCCTTTCCTCCCTTCTTTCTGTTCCTCTCCCAGCTCCCTTCTCCCATCGTTGTCGCCCACTGTACTCATTCCATGTCCTCACCTGCCTTCATTCTTTCTCCCCTTCTTTCCCCTCCTTCTCCCCTCCTTTGTCACTGGCCACGCTTTGTCCTGCTTGTAGCTGCAGCTGTCCCCTCTCCTTCCTCCAAATCACCTCGTCCCTCTCCGTCGCACTCTTCCAGCCATTCTCAGTCTCGTAATCCTCACCGCCATCCCTCCCTTCCTGCTTCCTGTAATCAACCCCCCCTTCTGCCCTCTTGTTTCCGTGCATGTGCTGCCATCACTTTGTCACCATACATGCCTTTTTACTCATGTTTACTCGCTTGTACTCCCTCTGACCCCTCCCGCCCTTCCTATCTCCCCACACTTACTACCCATCTCACTCACCTTCCTATCTTCCCATCTCACCTCCCTGCGTTCCTATCACACCTCCTTGTATTACGTGCCAAGGGTTTGGGGGCCCCATTTACCGCTGCGAAACCAGGTGTCAGACAACCTGTATGCATATGCAAAGCTGCCGGTTTTGCATGCAAGTCAGCACCATATGAGTGTGCCAATTCCCTCTGCTCTAGTGAGCTTGTCTAGGGGAGGGGCATCATGTTCCAGGAGTGTGTCATGACATGAAGATGGCACCAATAGTAGAGGATGGTGCGGTTTGTATATTGACGATGAAAATATGTGTACAAAAAACTCTTATACGACATCATACAGTGGTAACAAGCAAACCTAATAATGGCTTTTAGAAAGATTCAAGACGTTGGAAAGACAGATATCACATCATATGTATTGGATGCATGTGAACATTTGGATATACATGTGTTATGACATTCTGCTGATGTCATTATACATTGAGGGCACACACAACCCTAGACTGAACGAAACTGTGCACGTGCCCCACAGGTTCACCTGCCCCTCCCTCCCCACTGTCACCGCACTGCCCTTATTCAGCCCCAGCGGCATGCGCAGCGCTATGGTTTGCAGGGGATGGCATGGGGGAAAGACCCGAAGGGGAAGTGATGGGAGATGGGGAGGGGTGAGACAAGAGTAGTGTGGGAGAGTGAATGAGATGGGGTGTGATGTGGGGATTCAATTGCATGTGCATGTAGGGTGAGCATGCGACGTGCCAAAAGCACTAGTTGCAAACGGACAGAGACGTACCCAGCAGCGCCACACGCCCACCGTTTCCACCCCTATCCACACTACTCATGCTCGCCATACTTCAACACACATATGCCCAACGCACTCCTCCCCACAGCGGCCCGATGCATGCCCTGGCGGGTCGAAAGCGGGCCAGCTGCCCGCGCAGCACTATCTGGCAGGCACTCAAGGCGGAGAGCAGGCAGGGGAGGGGCGGAGAGAGGGAGCAAGGATTAGGATTAGAGGTGAGTGAGAGATGGTGTTGGAGTGCGGTGGAATGGGGGGAAGAGGGAGACAAACAATATCGATGACAGACACAACATGATGTGAGAAGGCATGAGGTGAGAAGGGAAGGCATGACGTGTGAAGGCATGACATGAGAAGGCATGTTTTGAGAAGGCATGACGTGAGAAGGCATGACGTGAGAAGGCATGATGTGAGAAGGCATGATGTGAGAAGGCATGATGTGAGAAGGCATGATGAGAGTAGGCATGATGTGAGGAGGCATGATGTGAGAATGAATGATGTGAGAAGGCATGATGTGAGAAGGCAGGGAGAGGTGAGAGCGGAGACGAGAGGAGACGATGAGACAAGGCGAGAGGAAAGCGCGAGAGGGAGGGAGACAGAGGAGGTGTAGGGAGGGGAGCAGAGGGGAGGGGAGGGGAGTGGAGTGGGGGGGAGGGAGCGGAGGTGGGGGGATGGGAGCGGGGGGGGGGGAGGGGAGCGGAGCGGAGGGGAGCGGAGGGGAAGTGAGGGTAGCGGAGGGGAGCGGAGATGACCACGAATTGAGCGAGGCCTTTCAGCAGCGCTGCCCGAGATCCGTTCCCTCACTGTGCGGTGGAGGGCACATGCACCGATGCACGCATGCACACAGCACACAAGCGTGCACGCATTCATGCACACAAGCAAGCCTGCACACATGCAAATAGGCACACATGCACACGTATGCACACATATGCACACATTTGCCCAGATGCACATATATGCACATACGCACATGCAAGCACGCAACCAGGGAAACCCGAACACGTGAAGACACAGATGCAAGCAGGGGTGCATGCGGGGAACGGATGCCATTTCCCTAAGCAGTTGGCGCTAAGTGGGTGAGGCGAGCAGCGGGTGACGCGCTAAGCGGGTGACGCGCTAAGCGGGTGACGCGCTAAGCGGGTGAGGCGCTAAGCGGGTGAGCCCGCCGACCTAGCCAATGCATGGATCGCGGCGAATCCGCCGAGGGCAACGCCACGTGAGCAATGATTGCATTGCAGGATGGTCGTTTCCGTTGCAAGTGACTTTCCCGTGGGCATGAGATGGATCTGACTATGCGACATGCTAACAAGCAGTTATCGTAACAGCGACGAAAACGATTACGAGGTAGACGAAAATCCACGAATGTCTGCGCTGTTTGGGAAAGCAAGGCGCAGTCAGCGCCGTCTATCGCGCTAAATCTAATTCGGCGAACCCTGAAAGAACAACTACTAGGTGTTTGGTGAGGAGGGCTTCCTTTCCTGTTCCACCTCTTCCCCCTTCCCCCCCCCCCCCCTTGCCCCCTCTCCCGCGAAACTGTCTAGGGGTTCAGAATTTTTGCCAAACCTCTCGCCAAGAAGTTTTCCTTTCGCTTGGGCGAAATTGTTTTGTACACTGTACAAACTTCAACAGTACTGCCAAATGTATACTGCTGCTTTAAGTGTCGGCGTAGAAGCCATTGTCGAACGATTGTGGTTGAGAATGTCCGCTAGTAAAGTAGAAGGAGAAATGCCTCTGGGAAGCGAGCGAGTTCTCGCCAGCTTGAACGGAAAATGGAAAATGAGCTCGGAAGGTTGAGAGTTGCAAGAGCCGTTTGAAAAATGAGAGACGTGGGTGGAGGGAAATGAGCTCCAACCCACGTTTTGTAGTTGGAGAAGGGCGTTTAGCGCGCTTCGACGATGCCAAAATCTGCGTTACAGGCAGCTGCGCTTTCGAAATAAGTAATTTTAAAAAACACTTCATGTGTTTAAAAATTATCATTTTGTGAAGTAGGTGTCAGAATCTCATGTCATAATCACTAGCTAGAACTTAGTAGCCATAGCTAGGGTTTAGGGTGCTTGCATGAGTGTCGAAAAGTTTGAGCTAGGAGAAAGGGTGTTCATTAATGAGCAAAGGTACAAGATATAGTGCAAGGGACAAGGGAATGAGGTGCACCACCAATGTAACACTACACTAACTACTGCTACAAGCAGTTTATATAAGAAATATATTTCAACATCTCAGTCACTAACCACTGGGATAAAAGGGCTTGTTTATGTAGCGGGTGAGTGCGCCCATAACCCCCCAGGCCGACGTGCCTGTAACCCTTCCCTAGGATCATCGGGGATCTCCAGTGGACCTCTGACACCCCCCCGCACTGGGATGCCCGAAGTGCACACACCGGGAATCGAACCCGAGACCTTTGCTCTGATACCATGTCAAAATCCCAGTCACTAACCACTGGGATAAAAGGGCTTGTTATAGTAGCGGGTGAGTGCGCCCATAACCCCCCAGGCCGACGTGCCTGTAACCCTTCCCTAGGATCATCGGGGATCTCCAGTCGACCTCTGACAGTAGGTCTCCAGTAGTACATCGCAGAGATTTTAAAAAACACGTCATTGAAACACCCTGAAAAACGTTTTATTTTACAGCAGAACCTTCGTATATCGGAGTCGTTTAGAAGATTGCCTGTTCCGTGCTTGTACCCTAATAATTACACCTCCTTTATTGTTGAGCTCGGCTATCATTCAGCTGGAAGCATACCCCACCGTGCTTGACCCACAAAACCTGTGAAAGCATTCACAGGTGACTGAAGAGCGTGATATCGCAAAGAGAGAACATCCTGAAGTGTCCCAGTCAATTGAATGGGCACTTCCGAAGGATGAGGTTCCGGGTTCAAACCCCAGTGCCGGCGTGTTCCGCCAGCCCCCCAGAAGGGGGTTTCGCACTGCTCACCTGGGAGTGGATATGCCTTACCTCGATACTCAGCGAGGCGTGTAAACAAGTGGGTAGGCGGATTACGATCGACAGCCGGGGGTAACCCAAAGGGGGCCATTCCCCCCTCCTTTACCTTTACCTTTACCGCAAGGAGAGAACAAGTTGAAAGGTTGTGAAGATTGTTCGGGCGTTCAATTAACACCGTCATGAAAATACCTCGTTAGAACTCTGTTAAGACCTTCGTAAAGCGGAGTCGTTTAGAAAATTGCTCGTCATGCAATTGTACCCTTTAAAATACACAACCATTTAAGGCATAGCCCCTCAAGCACCACTGCACCTGATCCGCAATATGTGAGATCCGTTTGTGAAGTGCTGCTCCTCATGTACGTCACTGGAGAGTGGGAAATTCCTTGGTGGCCTTTTGCTTGTTGCTTTTCGTGAATCACCCAGAGTACAAGGGCGACGTCAGGTTATACATTTTACAGGTGCTTACAGTTCCTGTATCGTGGTTCAGGACGTTCTAAAACGTTGAAACACGGTTCTCGACGTTTAATATTCTGCACCATGCTGAAATGCAGTTAACCGCACTGGGCGTACAAAAGGTTGCAAATGGTTGTACAACCTGACGTCGCCCTAAGCAACATAACTGGTTGAGACACTGCGTTTAACGCGGATGCAGAGAGACCTGTTGTTTCACCATACAAAGATACCCAGGAGAAATTAGGAAGCGAGGCGCATTTGTTACTTATCCCGGTCAAGCGCCGGGCGAGTCGAAATGTTAGGTCTTGCTACTACTGGCGTGTCCTCGTCGCTTCCTCCGGGAGTATCGTCTCGTCATAAATCTGACGTGTCATGCGGATCTCAGCTTCAGTCTGACGTGTCGAGAGCATCGTCATCCGTTTCGCGCCTTTCTGGCGATGCGATCAGCGATGGACGCGTCGTGGGGTTACAATTTCGCTCCGACCGGCTGCGAACCTCGAAAACCTCGTGTCGCGCTTGGACGAGTTCGCAAATTGGTTCTTCGGCAACTGGCTTGCAGTCACCGTCACCGTCGCAAAGACGACAATCGTCTACGCACTCCCGACGAAACGGAAAATGCAATGCAGTAACGGTAGCAGCTGCCGCTGCGGGAACCGGATCATCCGACGAATCAGACGAGCCCGTGTTCATTTTCACGAATCCGCGACAGTCGCCAGACGTCGCAAAGGTTCTTCGCCATGATCCTCGCGCCTCCGCCGCCGCCGCCGCCGCTTCCGCTGCTGCTGCCGCTGCCGCCGCCGCAGCCGCAGCAGAAGACGTAGCAGCCGCTACGCAGGACGCTCTAGAAGCCGGCGCGTCCTCCGCGAGTGGCGCCGCGAGCGGCGGGGCGGAGGGAAAACGAGCAAACGCGCAGACGAGCGCGCAAGCGGCGGCAGTGGATCAGCTACTAACGGGGCCGCCGAGACGAATAGTACCCATAGTGCCGGACGACCATAAGAGCGGTAGGAAGCGGGGGGAGGCGGAGGGGG